GCTTAACTAGGCAGGAGGGGGGGGGAGGCACAGGCATGAGGAATCCCTGAGCACCAGCACTCCAACAGCACATGGGACACGTGAAGGCAGAGTGACAGCACTGGACACCCAGTTCAACCAAAATCCCTAACAAGCTCTGCACCGCACACTATAAGCCTAGATGGGGGTGAGAACTAGCTATCAGCTTTGTCACCATTGCTAGACTAAACGTGAGTTTTCAGCCTTGACTTAAAGATTTCCCTTTCCAGGGCAGTTGGGTCCAGAGTTAATTCTGAGTGCTTTCAGCTCCTAGATACTTGATCATTTCACTCCCATTCTGTTCATGGTGGTCGCGTCTGAAATCCCAAAGGGAAGAAGACACTGGGGACAATTCTTGAACGGGGTCAGTTGTTCAAAGGGATGCTGTAATCTTCCTGCATAACTTAGAATCCCCAAAAATGATACTTACCATTGATATTTAGCAAACTAGTACAACTTCTCTTTGAAAGGAATCTTTTTCCATTATGTCCTTTTTCTACACATACATTTCTACATATTCTTCATAAAAATGAAACATTAAAAAAAAATAAAAATCAACAAATCCAGAAGGTGATACTATTGTTATGTCACGGGCAAGGACGGAAACAAAGACTGGCGTGGGGAGAACCAAAAGGGGCTTTAGTTAAAACAATACTACAAGCAGGGCAAAAGGAAATGGACCACAATGGGGTCAAAACGGGGTAGGGAGAATCAGGACACACTGGGGAGCACATGCAGGCAGCAACATCAATGACCGGACTGGGGAGTTAAAGACAGAGAAGCACTATATACACGTCACTGACGAGGGAGCAGACGAGAGGCACCTGGGGTGATCCACACGAGGACTTTAGAGAGACAAGATTAAACAAGTAACTGGTTTGTTAGAGAGGTTCGTTAATCCCAATCATGGTGCAAAAAAATGAAATTGAAATCTGAAGTTAGTGCATTTTTGCATACTGTACAGTAGTAGTGAATTTCTGTGATATTAATTTAGTCTAGAATAAAAATAGAAATTGAGCACCCTTTTAAATATTGTACTGATATTAAGATTCTGCTTCTTACATGCAAGACTCTCCATAAACTGGCACCTTTGTATCTTTCTGATGTCCTTCATATCTGCACTCCTTCTCATACCCTTAGATCCTCTTCTTGTGTTAATCGTATTATACCTCCTGCTCGCTTGTCTACATGGGGTTTAGAGTTCTCACTCCAGCGGCCATCTGTTTCAGTTGGCTTGTTTAGTATGATATATTAATTCAATTGTTGTAGTAGCATTGGTTTTATTGTAACTGTGACATTTTTATCTATCTATCTATCTGTCTGTCTGTCTGTCTGTCTGTCTGTCTGTCTATCTATCTATCTATCTAATTATTAGTATTGATCTGTTTTCACACAAAGATTCTAAGTTAAATACCTACAGCTTAATCTGGATTCAAATTAAAGAATACAAATTAAGATCCTCAAGATTCTATTCAAAAGACTGAATTTTAACAGAAGCAGTTCACAAAGTATGGTGCCCCATAGTTATAACACAGAGAAGGGGAGCCTCAGATCCTATTAGCGTAAAAAGTACTGACTAATCTTTTTCAAACTTTGCAGATTGCATACTGTGTGAATGAATATCTGATCAAATGTTGAGACAAAATGCACCAAAATTTAAGCAGAATAAAATGGAAGCCATAGACACTTTATGGCATCAGCAAAAAGCATTTGTTGGATCTTCTTCAAACGTTACGGCATCTTTGTGTAGGAGAAGATCTGGAATAGATTTAATTTTGAGATAAATCACACCAAAATTGAAGCAGCAGCACTGGGTGGCATCAAAGGAATGAATGGTGCAAAAAAGTACAATTATATTTACATTTACACTCTTTTGTTGAAAGTGGTGTACAAGTGAGGCAAATAGCACATTGCAAACATACAAGGAGTGAACTATGCATAAGTGCAGCTAGGCTGAGCTTTCAAACAATGCAAACAGTGGCTGTTTGCTGATTTTGTGAACACAGTAGAAGTATTTGATGGATCTTTTTCAAACTTTTCAGGAACATTGTGTAGGTGAAGATCTGGGAGCCATTTCATTTGGGGATGAAACCTGAAGAAAATTCACTTAGTGGTGCCACATGCTAAAGCCCTGTTCACACCTGATATTAACATGTGTCTTGAGTGATCCCGTCTCAAGTGCACAGTGCTAAATACAGGTGTGAACACACCCATAAAGCATTGAAAACGCATCAAGATCCGAGCGTCAGTTGAGTAGGCGTTCCTTCAGTGCGGCCCAGGATACATTCGCGTTCACACTACGATAAGAATGTGCATCCCAGACCACCTCCGAATGTGTCCTGTGCTGCATTGAAGGACCGCCTACTCAGCTGATGTCGTCGTGTGGGCGTAAGTACATATGTGCTCATTAAATGCATATCTGTCAAATGATATTTGACATATGATTTATGTCAGAACGTAAGTCAGTGCAGAGTTAGTCATTGTACACTAAGCTGCATTGTGAACAACAGTGCACACCAAACAACACCAAAAAATTAGTTGGAATCTACTGGGAGGTTGGTTTAACAGACTGTCGTGACCCATTCACATAGAAACTTTGTTAAAGTGCGCATCATTAATTTTCTGTGCAAAATCGGGGAAAATAAATTGAGTAAGAAGTGATTAATTAAACATGTTTTGAAACACACTGATCATATATTTATTGTGCATTTCGATGAAGCTTCTTATTTATGTCAAAGCTGCTCCATGCTTTATATATATTGGTGAAACATGCTAATGAAAATTACATGAACGCAAAATCAAAGTGTGAAGGTAAGAATGTGCATTCAATAGCCTAGATAATGGATATGTTTATATAAACCTATAATAATAGTGTGATTGTTTATATAGTTTTATATTAGGCTGTCTGGGGGCTTGAACTCCCGGTCAGAAATTCAGTCCCACTCCGGCCCTGACCTACTGTGCTTCTTTTACTAAACTTGCTCCAAGTCAGATGTAATTCAGCATATTAGGCAAAACAATGAACCCCTTCATTGAAATTTTCGCAAAGTTTGTGCTTCATTGGTTAGGATTAAAAGCTGAAATATTATCATATGGCAACCAACATAATGCATTACAGACTGAACCCTTTGCCCTGGAACAGAAAAGTATTAACCTAAGTACTGAAAGACACTTTTAAGACATACATTTGTATCGTGGTATAAAAATGCATGGCTACAACGTGAAAAGTTGAACTATATCGTGAAATACAGGTTGAAATTGCATTTGCATTATGTGTAATAATATTTTATAATAATGACTGTAGAATGAAAATCATGTTATTATGAAATACAATTTAAAGATCATACGTACAAGATAAACGTTATTAAGAAATATAATACCCTTTATGGAATTATTTAAAAATTAAAGGACACATTCATTATTGAAATATTTATTTATTCATTTACTTATTTATAGATATATCTATTGATTTCATTTTGAGTATTATGTCATTCATTACAAACATCTTAGGTTAAACATCTTTTATTCTGATTTTTTATTTTTATTTTATTTGTTCTATTTCTTTAATGTCTGGTTCTGTGTGTGTGCAAGACTGCTCTACGTGCCTAAAATTGCCCCTTGGGGACAAATAAAGTTTTTTGATTGATTCATAGGTAATTTTTTTTTACCCTGGAATGTGCCAACAGCTTCTGATTTCTTCTTCTCTTTTTGTAATGTTTGGCAGATTCTGCATATGGAAGTGATTTGCGTGCTTATTTAAATAAGTTGCGGGAAAATGTGATTAGATTACAAACAGTTGATTGAGATGTCTGTGGAGACGCATGTTACTGTGTGAACGGACGTATTTAGTGCTGTCCAGTTGTGATAGGATCACCCAGGATGCATGTTAATATCAGGGGTGAACAGGGCCTAAGATATGCTGAACCTGATTATATTGAGATAAGTTGGTCTTTTAATATGGAGTTTTTTTGGATAGGAAGGGAAAGTTTTTCTGGGGTGTTGGAGGAGCAGGGATTAGAGGGGGAGTAGGCAGTGACGGGGCCATCTGGCGAATACATTGTTTTCATTCCAACTTAGTCTAATTTAGAAGTAGTTTTACAAATTTTATCATATAGGACTTTCATAGTTGCATTTTTAACAATGCAGTGCAACCATAAATGGAAATGGAAATTAATCACTGCAAAAAAAGCAGAAGCCTAAAAAAGATAACAAATACATTCATTGCTACAAAAACCATAGCAGTTGCACAATCCATTCCACTTCTGGCTTTGCGGTCATGTTTTCTTTAGGTAAGAACATAACCAAAATGTTAAAAAATGAGAGCTCGAAATAGCAAATTGAGAGCATAAAATAAATAATTTGTGTGCCTTTTTTAGGATTGTGTGAGCTTGATTAGGATTTTTTGAGAACATATAAATACTTAAACATATAATATAAATGACATTTTCAAACATGCACAATAAAACTCCACAAAGGGATAAAAGTAACCACTTCATTGGTGGGTAAAGATTCTGCAAATTGTCCTGTGAAATGGAATGTGAAATAAATGAAGAGCTGTAGTTTCAAAGTTACATGTACAAGGAGTCAGAGCATTCAGGTAAAAACACATTTATAAACTATAACATTTCCAGTTGATCCATCCAGTACTTCTGGAAATTGTACAGATTGGTGAATGCGGGATGAGTATGGATTGGAGCTATCTGGGGAATACAATGCTGTCATTCCATCAGCCCCCCCTTATAGTTTTATTATAATTACAAATGAAGGTCAATTGACTGAATAATATTTAATATTTTACATATAATAGCAATGTTGCTTTGTACAAAAGTTGCTTCTCTTTATGTTTATTTGTATTAAATTAAATCAATTTATTTTATTTGTTGTCAAATAATAATTTGCAATTATTTGTAATTTTTTCAATGTAATGATTACATTAGAGCATGTGAATATGAGTAAAATGTGCTTTATTTTCCATTCTGTAGGCATTTTCTGTTCAAACATGGTTCTGGATCCTCTACCCTCTTCAGAGCACGAAGCCATAATTACCCCCTCACATCAAGTACTGTCTACTCCCCCCCCCCACGGCCGTTACCCAGAAGAACCTTCTCCCGGCCAGCCTTCTCCTTCCACAAGTCCTACAAGTGCTGCAACTGGAAATGCGCTGCTCTGAGTGCCACAGCCATCACCATAACTCTTGCAGTTTTGCTCATCTATGTTATTGGTAAGAAGCGAGTTGTCCTCTTGTTTCTGAGGCACGTCAGCTTTTTTTCCACTACCCGTTTTTGTTACTCCAATTTGTAAACCTAGCACTTTTACTGAAATTTAGTAATAAAAATTACACTGAAGTTAAACATTTTAAATAATATTAAAAACAACAAATGCCACAGATCAATTAAAACGGGACATTTTTAAGTGAATTTACTACTTATTTTATTGACTAGTTTATTAGCTCTAAGTTACTGTAATTGTGTACCTTTACCGTGGAAAAAGCAATGTATATGGTGTAAGTGTGGAGTTTTATGTGACCAAACACAATTGAAATAAGAATAGATTTTTTCTTTTTATTGGCTGAATACCATTAAGAGGGGCACAAGGAAAACCTGGGAAAGTGCCCCCCCCCCCCCCCCTTTAAACGTAGCCACAACTGATCGTGAGACTTACTGACATAGTGAACTTTTAGAATTTTAACACAGAGTTATGTATAATTAAACATTGTTTGGAGTATCAAATAAATTCTTATTCTTTTTAAATTTATAAAGCAAGAAAGTGACACCAGTGTGGCAAATTCTGGGGTTAATATAAATTAATTAGCAATACCGCTTTAAGACTGAGAAAGCAGCAGGTCATTTATAGCAGAAGTTCTGCCTTAATTGACAGCTGACTAACAGCAAAAACTAGATTTACTACTTTTCTATTTACATGACACTCACACTCAAGATTAAATGCTAACAAACTCAAGCACTCTATAGCAAAACATTACACAGGTACAACACTTATTATTTGCAAAACATAGAAATGGCACGTCATGCTCAAGGACATCTGCTGGTGCCCTCCAGTAGTTCTCCAGCTTGGGAAAACATCCCTTCTTATGATTGGGGCAGAGTACATCCAAATTGAGTCCCCAGCACTGAAGTCCTGTGCATCATAGGAGTACTTCTGCTGGGAGGTTGCCATGCCTTGGTACTGTCAGGGCAGTTGGTGTACCCTGCAAGCTGCACAGCGAGCATGAGGTTGAACTGCTCCACCAGCCCATCACTTTGGGGGTGACAGGGGGTGGTGTGGGTCTTCACAATAGCCGGCCGCCTGCTGACCTCGTTAAACACCAGCACTTCAAATTCCATCCCTGGTCACTGGGTAGTTTTTCTAGCACAATAAAGTCTCAGAAGAATGAGCTTCTCAGCCCTGGTCACTGCACCCTGGTTGGGAGCTGCATACACCTTGGGCAACTTGGAAATGATGTTCCTGATGTAGACAAGACTGCTGCAGTCCAATCCACCTCCACTGGAGCATCAGCTGGCATGGCTGGCACTTTTAGTTGACCATGCTAACACGGCTGTCAGCTCTTGCTTGGCACTGGTGAAGTGTGGGCAGCCCTGCTGTGAATAGACATGGAGTTCTGTGGCGATCGAGCCCAGGGTCTTGCTCACCCGCCTCTGCTGGTTCACCAGCTCTCCCCTTATGGCCTCATCTGATGGTCCTTGTTGATCCACTGCTCTAATGCAGTGACCAGGGTGGCATGGTCCTGCTGTTCTTCAGTGGACGGGCTGATAAGGGCCTAAAGTGTTCCTCCACCCACTTCCAGCACTAGTGTTAGGTGGATTGCTGCTTCCGTGAAATACCATGAGGTACACTTGGGCCAGCAGATCAAATCATCGATCTCATCAATGACCTGCCGTCCCACTTCTGAAAACCAATGTGCAAGTTCTAGGGTCATTGTGAAGAAATGTCTCATACCACTAAAATGTGGAGAAAACATCAGTTCCCTTATTGACAGCTCACTGCTCTTGCATACTAGCAGCATCACAGAGAAGGGGATTAACAATTTCCATGGCAGGGTAACACGCTAACAAACACATGCGCTCCACAGAACAACATTACACAGGTACTACACTTGCTACTTGAATACAATATACATCTATTTACATGATCGACTCACTCACGCTGCTTTGCGGCACACAAATAAATCCCTTACAAGCTGTAATCACAGCATGTTACGAACAGAGCATTAGTCTTTTGTTCCCAGGAATATCTGCATTGTAATTCAAAGTGTCCATGCATGTCATGATAATACTGACATGACATTTTTCTTGCAGCAGTGCATCTCTTTGGCCTAACCTTGCGCCTCCAGCCTACGGATAGGCAGCTGTATGAGAATGGGATTAGTAAAGTGGCCAAGAGCCCTGAAACCAGGGATAACAACTTTTCTCAAGATGAGGAGCCTCTTTCCAACAAGACCATTAAAGGTAATAAACGAGCCAATATGAAGTGTATCAGGATGAGTGATGACTTAAAAAAATTGCTATGTTTTACATATTTCAATATATTTTGGAAATGCAATCCAGATTTTAACAAATACAGTTGTAAATGTAATTAAAATGAATCAATTACTTTTCAATTAATAGTTGAAAATTGATTAATATCAGTCAGTTAGTGTTGTCTGTGTTATCTGGGATTTTGGACTAATTAATAATTCTAGTATGTTGCAGCATAATAAATATAGAGATATGACTAGTCATTGAGAAAACCTAAATTGTGTAATATTAGTTACTGGACTGACTGGTCCATAAAATGACTTTCAGAGTATATTCACTCAACACCATTTGAACAGTTAAATACATATTATGAAAATCAACAGGTACAAAATTATACTGTAATACAATTTGCAGATTAAATATGAATGCAAATTCATATACTAATTGTTAGTTTCCAGTCAATTGTATGATCAGGGTTTTATTGTAGTGTTAGCAGTAATGCAGTAATGCAGTATGCATTTAGATTCAGCTTGCTGAATATTTGACGTAGGGCTTTCTAACAGGGCTGGAGAAAACTGAAATTTATTAACTACTGTAGGTCCTGATCATGGTACACCGTTTCATATAAATGGAGACTCCTGTACTCAGTGCTGATAGGACTTGGCCTGCTGACTACAAGGAATGTAGCCGAGGTGGCCAAGACAAACTCAAGCACTGAGTTAGAATCGATACGTCATTGGCATTACGGCTGAATGGGTGATCTTCATTCTTCAAGTTAATGACCCAAAACACTTCTGATTCGTGCAAGAATTATTTGTTCATTGATGTGCTGCATGAATGCATGTGTGTGTGTTTTTTTATATAGAGAAAGATGTTTATCTCAGAGAGAAAGTAATGGACAGAGGTGAAGTGGCAATTGGCACCCAAGTTACGCAAACTGTACTTCCTGGCCTCTTCTGGAGGTTCCATATCATCATACACCACCCTGAGTATGTGAAGTTCAACATCTCCATGACGCGAGATGCCCTGCTTGGAATCTATGGTAGAAGGAACGTACCCCCAACACACACGCAGGTAAGTTAAACTCCGCCCACCTTCTATCTTTCTTTATCAAAACCTTTTTTTCAGAATTTAACTTTGAAGCAACCTCTGTAAGGATTGTATGTTCTTCCTGGGTTATGAGGCTTTTCTTCAGGTCTCCCTATTTTGAAAAGCATGCAGTTAGGTGGGCTTGCTTTCTTAAATTGCCCATTGCATGTTTCTGCCCTTTTATGGACTGCCATCCCATCCTGGGGGCTCCTTGGCCTTGCTCCATGAGCCTCCTGGGGTAGGCTCAGTGCTTCCCTCTACTGGTTGAATGGATGACATGCAGAATTCAATTTCAGGCATTATTTACAGGTCTGACTTTACATGCTATCCACATGCAGTTGTGCAATTGCACCTGACGATCTTATCACGTTGCCTGTAGTGTTGTGAAATTGCGGGTGTACGATCTTATCACGTTGCCTGTAGTGTTCTGAAATTGCGGGTGTACGGGTCTATCCAGTGGCAAGTAAAAGTATGTGAATCCTTACTTGATTGTCTGCATTGATTGGTCATAAAAATTGATCGGATCTTCACATAAATTACAATAATGAACAATAATTTTAAGAAATTCGAGTTCTAATGAGTTTGAGAACTGAGGTACCACTGTACATAACTTTTTGCATAAAATCCAAGATTTAGCAAAAAAACGTGAATTACGTGTCAGTTTTCATGGACCACCAGGATTATTTTTTAGCTATTTGTAAATATGCTCTATGTGAAATGTCTTAGCACTATGACTGTAATGCATTAAATGTATGTTTCTCTATGCTGTGGGTGAACAGGCAAATGTAAACGCTACATTTGCAGCAATGTCCAGTTTTCCTTATGGAATGGGGGCAATTGATTGCACTGATATTGCGATAAGGGCACCTCAGATCAAATCAAAGTTTAGTTATCTAATGCACATCAGTGCAGCATGCAGCAATAGATGCAGACAAGGAAATGAGTGCTAATTAAACTACTGTAACACTGTTATAATTTGCTTATTTTGAGTTTCAAATACCAAATCAGTATCTCCCGGCTGCTGTAGCACACGCATGTCAAAGTTTGAGGTCGAGATGTGGGTTTGCCCTCAACAGTCACAGTCACATTGACCCTGGACAGAGCAAGTCGTTTCTTTCTCTCTGTCTTTAGATCTGACCACTTTTTTATTTACCTTTATTTCGTGTATAGTGTGTTTTGTAAAATTTACTGCAGCGACGATGTGTTGCCTCAAACTTGTTTTAGATTCAACCTTATTGTCATTGCATAAAGTACAAGTACTCAGACGACAAAAAGCAGTTTGACATCTAATCTGAATGTGCAAAATAGTACAAAAGCACTAAAAACAGTAATACAATATATACTTGGATGATAAATCATTAAACATGTATGTTAATGTATCTTCCTGTTTGTGGTAAATGTGCTTAGGCCACCAAATATAACATTTTGTCATGTCTCTACCTGGCACTGTTCAAAATTCCTCTTCTGGGTTATTTAAGTTGTGATCATTGGACTTTGAAACTAGAAAGGCTTGATTTGCATATTGCATGAGAGTGCAGTTTGTTTCCATTGACCATTTATGGTTATTTGTAGGTTGGATCCCAGGCTTGTGCATGTATGCACATTTACAAGATAGTTCCAACATTTCAGAGGCGAAAAATGTGTACGCCAGGCATGTGAAATCCAATTTTTTTATGCATGTGCATTTTTTTCTTCCCATGCGTACGCATTTTTTTTAACAATCAAATTTATGCAAAGTTTGATAAATGAGGTCCTTGGAGACTAGTCAACGAAACGAGCTTGGTGGTGTGGGATTCAGCTACTTTTTGAGTTGTTCACGAGAAGCGTCTCATGATGTGAACCTTCCCTCTCAAAAAGGGAGATCTTAGAAGACCTCCAATTAAGAATTGTTGATTTGCATAATGCCAGAGAGCTGGAAAGGGTTACAAAGTCATCTCAAAGAGTTTACATATTCATCAGTCCATAGTTAGACAAACTATCTGTAAATGGAGACAGTCTAGTACTGTGGCAACTCTCCCTAGAAGTGTGGGCCCAGCCAAGATGACAACAAAGACACAATGCAAAATCCTCAGAGCAACAGATAAAGGCTTAATGGAATCATTAGAACTGGTTAATATCTCTGTTCATAAATCTAGCATACACAAAACCTTCAGGCATGGCATCAGTGTCAGGACACCACGGAGGAAGCCACTGTTCTCCGAAAATAGAAGAAACCATTGCTGTTCGCATGAAGTTTGCCAAAAACCACCTTCACACTTCACAATGCTACTGGGATTTTTTTTTTTACATTTTGTGGACTATTGAAACTGAGGTTGAATTGTTTGAGAGGAATATGTATCGTATAAAAAGGGAACCATATACTAACATAAAATCAACATCACAGAGGTGAAGTACAGTAGAGGGACCGTCATGATTTTGGGCTGTTTTGCTGCCTCAGGGCCTGCATAGGTTTCCATCACCAAGGGGAAAATGAATTCCCAAGATAATTAAGGTATCCTATGGGATAATACTCAGGGTGGCTGTTCAGCAGCTGAAGATCATTAGACGATGGGTGATGCAGCAGGATGATCACCCTGAACATCAAAGGAAATCTACTACAGGGTGGTCCAGTCAATGCCCTGACCTTAACCCAAACGAGGTGCTGCCTGGTGACGTCTAGAGAGCCATTCTCACCAGAAATCCTATGAATATGGCTGAGCTTAAGCAGTTCTGTAAGAAAGAATGTTCCAAAATTCTTCCTGAATGTCGTGCAGGTCTGATCTGCAGCTACCAAAAGCACTTTATTTGAGATGATTGCTGTCCATGGAGATTTGACCAGTTCTTAACCCATGGGTTGACTTACCTTTTTCAATCTGCACTGGGTTGTTTGATTGATGTGTTCAGTATGTGCAAGAACAGTACAATTATTTGTATTTTTCATAAATCTAACTTAGATGAAGAAAGAATGACATTTTATGACCAATTAATGCAGAAAATTAGGTAATTAATTATGGTTCGCAGACTTTTTATTGCCGTTGTCTTGTTTAAAAAGGCAATATCATAGCATCAGAATTGGCAGAATAACATCACAACCTCTATTTTTGAAAAAAGCTCCTATTCTGTATGGCAGGTTTCAGCAATTACATTCAACCGCAGGCCGTTTTATTCAACAGTGCTCAGTAAGGGGCCAGTATAGTTTTACAGATGCATGAAAGCAGATGCTGCTATACATTTTTAATAAGTTTTGCTTGAATACTAATTGCTTTAATAATTACTTATTTTAAAATAAATATTGTTACTAAGATAGCTTTTCTGAGATAACACGTTAAATTTTTTGAATGAAAACTAAAAAGGGAAACCTCTTTCGGGGGCAAATATTTTTGTAGGAGGGCCGGATGTGGCCCACGGGATGTGGCCCGCGGGATGTGGCCCACGGGACGCTATTGGCCGACCTGCACTGTATGGTGTGTCTGTATAGTTGACTGACATGCTTCTTAATTTTGATGCCCACATGTGAAATATACACCCAGCTTTTAGTAGTCAAACATTTCTAGAAAAGCTGTACATTTTACATTTGACTAAAACATTCCTGTGATTAATCTTAGGTGACCTCCTGGGTTTGTCCTGATTCCAAGGAGACCTGGTCATATAGACCAACAATGAGATTATAAAGAGAATTTTTGCCTTTAGCATCACAGAAATCTGTTTCCATGGTTGCTTTGGGACATGTAAGGGGACAAACCAATAAGTGATACTGCTGGCAGGAAATGATTAAATGTTCAAGCTGGAGGAAGTGCTTTGATATTGCACTTCTAAATATAAAAAGATTGAAGGAATAGCGTAGAGTATGAGTATATAATAAATCAAAAAAGAGACATCCTGTAAATAATTTTGGATTGTGGGAGAAACAGTAGCTACACTACTGTCTATCCATCCATCTGTCTGTCTGTCTGTTATCACCATAATCATTGTCTTGCTCTCCTCTTGACCATTTTGTCCAATTTGCTTTTGGTCTGCAGTTCGATTTTGTCAAGCTGTTGGATGGCAAGCACCTTATTAAACAAGAGGCCACACAGGATTCAAGTACCACTCCCAGGAATCTGATTCTTACCACAACGCAGGAGACTGGTTTTATTGAGTACTTGGATCCAGGGACCTGGTACATAGCTGTTTACAATGATGGAAAGAAGACTGAACAAGTTTTTGTCCTCAGCACTGCCATTGGTAAATGGAGTTTTCCCACTTTTACTGTTATAGTGAAATATATTCACCTTTTTTTGTCAGAACCAATCTGATCCTGATTCTGCTATACTACTTGTGCCATTATATTACTATTAGGCTGTACTGCTGTAATACAGATGGCTCCTTTAGGTCCTTCATCATTAGAGGATTCTTACTATTTTCTGTGCTGCTTTTAATGCATTTTTCCTTAATCAAATAAAATGTTACACACTTAAGTATAAATGAATTAAACTCCCCCCGTGTCACGCCCAGCTCCGTACGATCCTTGTGTGTGCCACGCCCACCTCGTTACCTCGTGTTTATGCCTGATTGTTCTCAACTGTTGCTCGTTAAACTCTGTTTGTCTTGTGTATTTAGTCCTCGTCTGAGTCAGTCTTCCCCAGACTCGTCATTAATGTTTGCTGTCGTGCCTCCCCAGTCCTGTTTCCACTGAATAAATTCCTCGTCTCACCCGACTTCCTGGCTCCTCTACCCTGCTTGCCAGTTCGCCGGTGCCCGATCGTGACACCCCGTGACTCTAAATAGGACAAGGAGTTTCAGAAAATGGATAGATGGATGCATTCAATCCAAAAGTAGAACATTGAGAATATCTAAATACAATCTGGACAAATTCAGTCTCAATGAAGTTATACTGACCCTTTGACACATGGCTTTTAGCCCATTATAATAATTAAATGGAATTTCAAATGCTGAATCACTAACTGTTTATTACATATATTTCTGATTGATTAGTAATATATGTGAATTGATTTCTCATGCCAGAATTCTTTTAATAAAGGTTATCTACATTTATATAATTTTTTAAGGTGTCTCACTAATGCAGTCTAGCTATATGTTCAAGGGAGGTATTTTGTAACTCTGTATTTTACAGAGATATACAATCAGTTCTTCAAAAGTATGAAAGAGTTTTCCAGAGCAGCATAACATCAGTTTACATCACTCTGATGCAGGGGTTGATTATGTAGGAGTCACTGCCAATGAGGTCTTCAGTTCAAACAGGCCACTTGTGCAGCAGTGAAGCCTTCGGGGGCAGGGGGGGGGGGTACTGGATTAGTGGAATGACATAGTTTATAATTCTCTGTGGAAAACACAAAAGATCGATCTGTGGCCTAGATTTATGAATTAAAAATGAATTTATGAATTAAAACCATGTCCTGGGCCATAAGGAACCATCTTGTGGGCTAGATCTGGTCTAATGTGGCTGCCTGTAGGAGACTTACAGGCTGAATTCTGAGATCTGATAAACCAGGAACATACTAAAATGCAATACATCATTGAGTACCTGTAGCAATTAAGAACAACATATAATCTTTCATTATTATTATTATTTTTTTAATTATTATTATTAATGTGTTGCTGTTGTTGTTTGTGTTTTATAGAAACCATGGATGGCTGCTCTACAAACTGCAATGGGAACGGGGAGTGTGTTTCAGGTCATTGCCACTGTTTTCCTGGATTTCTTGGTCCTGACTGTGGAAAAGGTACGACTTTGCTCATTGTTTCTGTTGCATTGTATTGCAATACTTGGATATAATAAATCCATCTGGGACCTGTGTCACGGAGCAGGATTTCTTGCTGAGGCCGATAACTTGTCCGATTTAAGGTATCCCATTTTAAATGGACATTATCTTTGTTCATTTACATTTAGCCTGGACTACCTTAAATCCAACAAGTTATTCAGCTGATCAATAAATCCTGCTTATTTTACAGGCCTCAGGTTTAGCTGATAGAAATTCAGATTTGTGGGGAGGTCACATCAGCAGTTCCTCAGCTTGATTTAGCATCTCTTCAAGAGTTGGTCGACACAGAAACGGAAGCTCTTCTCCGGTTAAACAATCTGTCATTCTCCGGTGAAAATCTTCACGAATGGTACCATTTCTCTTCCTAGTCCGTGATTAATTCAATAGCCTAATGTTCCCCTGGGATCAATAAAGTTTAATTTGATTTGATTAACGTTTTTCTTATTTAGAGACCTGTTTTCAGCCTCTTATTTGAAACATCACACGCCATGGATTTGTACTCACATCTTTACCACCTTCATGTATCACCCTCCATTTTTTTCCCTTATTAGCCCCTTATATAATATAGAAGACGCCAAACACATTGGCAAAGCAACGGCTTGTCAGGCTGCCCGCAAAGTATGCCTGACACGCTAAAGGCTACTGCCCATCTTTGTCCTTTTTTCCGGACATAAACCTCTGAGAATAATTAAATGATGGCTCCACTAAATTGCTGGTTTGTCATGTATTACAGAAATGTTTGTGACAGCACTGAGTGTTTTATCACAATGAATAAGTATATGATTGTCTAAATATCGCTGGATTCACTAATGCCACTAAATGCCTAGATGGATCTCACATCTCCATCACTGTTAAAGTAGTAAATGAAGGACATTATGTGAAAAGGCAACCTTTAAACAGCATTAATGTGCAGGTACTGTCAGAACACTTTATACCAATTCAAAGATTTCCCAATGTGTTGTGACTTCTTAGGGCTTACCTGTGTCCACTGTCAAGATCACACAAATCATAGCTCTGTGCATGACTCATTCATTTATAGGGAAAGTACATTACATGACAAATCTGCACAGGGTGTGTAAGTGTTCTATTCATAGCTTAAACTGAGAGTCTCATCCTGCTGTACCATGCATCGAGCCAGAAGAAGAGCAACCACTTTACCTTGCAGACCTCGCAGAGGGCAGAGTTCTCAAGGCAGATAACCATTTTCCTTAGAACCACTTACAACCACCACGATAAATGATATAAAGAGAAATTCACTACAGTCTCATTCATGTGCTCCTGCCTGCACATAACCATGACACAGGAACGTCTTGGTCATTTCACAGGAATTAAGAATCATCCATCTTTTGACAACCACAAAATTAATTTCTAACTGGTATTAAAACAGTTCATTTTCTAAACTAGTGTTGCTTTTTAAAAGATTAATATTCTCCATCTGGAGATCACACTTTATTAGCTTCTCCAGATGGACCATGTACGGCTCCTTAAATGGAAACTAGGAAGAGAACATTTTGTTAATCCAGAGTCTTTAAATATCACCCTTTCACTTATACACAGGGCATTAGGAATAAGGTCATACTTGACACAGCTGTGTTGTTGAGGTCAGTGGACCCTCATCGTCTTCAGATGGGTCAGTCAAACTCTGTTGGAGGATAATAAGCATCAGACAGAGCTACTGACATGCGGGATACAGACACATGAACTCTGCCCCCCTCCCTGAATGCCCCCTCACTGAATAGTCTGATATGGCTCCTCATCCTCTTCCTTTAATAAGTTTATGTAATATATTCAGCACTATCAGGCAAAATCTGTGAAATACAGCTCTGGAAAAAATTAAGAGACCACAACAAAACTTTCAGTTTTACTCATTTCTCAATTCAGTATCTGCCTGTGTAAAACATACATTTTTTTTGCAAACTCCAACCTGGCTCTTCCCTACGTCTCATTGATGAAGGGCTTCTTCCTTGCTTTATGGGACTTTAGGCCTGTTTCATTAGAAATCCGCTTCCACCCCAACCTCTACTTCAGGGGTGCCCAACTCCAGTCCTGGGGGGCCGGTGCCCTGTGCAGTTTAGTTCTTTCCCTGTTCCACCATAAATGATTCAGCTCAAGAGCTGTGTGGTAATTAGCACAATGAGTTGAATCAGGGCTCTGTGCAGGCTCTGCAAAACTGTGCAGGGCTCCGGCCCCCCAGGACTGGAGTTGGGCACCCCTGCTTTATATGGTTAGGTTTTGGTAATTCCCAATGTCTCCTCCTCCACCTTGTTCTTGTGTACTGCTGTCTTAGAAACTTTGAGCCTGGAAACAATCTGCCTCATAGTGTAGCCTTCTGCCAGCAGATCCAGGATTAAACCAGGATTAAACCAGGATTTAAAATGCAGTTTTTTTAGTGGCCTTTTCATTTTTTCCAGAGCTGTATTCAATTACCTATAAAAGTATGAGGCTCCTGCTCACCAATGATTACATGTATAAGTCACTGTTAATTATGCTAAAATTACTGAGGTACAAACATCGCTAACACCCCCATCCATCCATCCATCCATCCATCCATCTATAATGAATGTTAACCATTAGCTGAAGATTGAAATGTTGGGGTTTACAAACATCAGTAATATTCCTGTCATTTTGAATTACGTTTTTGTATTTCATTTTAGAAGTTCCTTTTGATCCCTACTATATTGCAACTAAATGAATATATTCCCATACTGTATATAAAGTGAACCATTATATTGGATACTGTTTTCGACCTTCGCTCTGATGAATTGTAAAAAAGGGTGATCTACTTGCGTGTCAACTAGTTGTGCATTTTTGCAACATAGTCTGTCTCTACTTTGTTGCAGCTGCAGTGTTGCCCTTTCCTTTTAAATACATTCATACTCAGCATACACAGACACTTGTTGGTGTCAATTTCTATGGCAAATCATATTTACAGTGATGAACTGATGACGGCGTTTTGTTGTTCCGAAAGACTGTGCTTCAGTTAGCAATCACGTACTCAGACTTGAGTAAATTCAATCTCAAAAGTCATACTCAGCATTTCTGAAACCAGGGGCCTATGTCAGAAAGCAGGATTTCTTGCTTAGCTTGACGGATTTAAAGTAGTCTGGGCTAAATGTAATTGAACAAAGATAAAGTCCATTTAAGCTGGGGTAACTTAAATTCAACAAGTTCTCCGGCTAAGCAAGAAATCCTGCTTTCTGAAATGTGGGTGTTTCACAAAGCAGGATTTCTCAGTTAGCTTGGTTAACTTAAACTAGAAGTCATGATTGTCCAACATGAATGTTCCTTACCTAAACTCTAATTGGACAATCATGATTAGTTTCGTCCTTACATTGAAGTATCAGTTGAGATGGAAGTGCAAATTCTTCAGTATCAATCTCAGTTAGTTTTGGTAGCAATTTTTATAGTTTTCATTTAGTTGAAGTTTTTAGATTTTATTTTGGAACATATTTTAGTTTGTTTACGAATATGTTTCATTAAAGTTTTTGTCTTTGTTAAGGATAATAACCCAGGTAGGGCAAAACACAGTGCAGTTGCTTGTTGGGTTTCTCTGACTGATTCGTTGCTTCCCTTTGGCATGTTGTTCCGTTGTAAACCAATAAGGGATGCGTTTTGTCCGTATTTCACAATCAGCAAATTTTACAATTTAGATAGGGGGCTTAGCACCCCGTTATCCTTCAGGAAGGAAACCGTTCCGTGTGTTCAGCTAGATGACAGTGCTTCAAATGGTTTCCATTTAACAGATGCAAGTTTTCAGCAGAGTTTCCAATACACAACATAAGACTTTAAACTGCCAAAGCACCGCTACACCACCAATGCCTTCTAACCTTGTTTATCCACAATATCTCCTGTTTAAAAGATGTTGTCGCTTTTTTCACTGACAAGGAAGTTTCCTCTGAGGAAGCACTCATCTCCTCCACGACTCCATGATAATAACAAAACAGTAGAATGTGGTGTGCTCTGCAAATTCAGTCAGTTTTACAGTGTGTTCATAGGTTGTCTCTTCTTAAACCGCTACCGTATGATTGATTGGAGCTGAAAAAGTTCAGTATTCAGAAAAGCTCTACTGGGCCATGGGGATATTTTCTGTGCTTTTACATCATAACATGTTTCTATACAGTATGTCTCCTTTGGTTTGTTCGCACAGTTTTGGAAGACGGTGTAAGCCTTCTTCTCTGTCAAATTTGCATATCTCCACACATTGTGTGGCTGCTTACATAAGGTGACACAATGTGTTTGTACCTCTAAGCTTGACATTCAAGTCACTGGGATGAGATACTACAGTCAGTCCTGCTACAATGCAACTAATGCATTCTTGAACAACTTTGCGTTCACAAAAATCGCATACTAAAATACTAAAATTAAAATTCCCAGTGGGAAAAGTAGGGTTAGGGGGATGCGAATCCAAAACTTAGTAACTCATACCAAACAAAACAAATTACGTAAATAAGAAAAAACTGATACCAGTGGCCAATAATGCAACTATGTTCATTTTAAATAAAAAATAATAGAATTAAAACCTATGCAATGCGTGGAAGTGCAAAAAGTAGTTCAAGTAGAAAAGTTGGAATTTGCATAGTGCTTTTGTCTCTGACTGACAATCATGCAAATTCAAATGCAGTTCTGCGTAGTATTGGACTTGGGTACTATCAATCGCATTAGAACAGATTTGTGGTGTGAAATCATGCATTATAGCAGGATTGAGTGTGTATATGTCGGAAATGTAACAGCTTCCATTTTCTCTTAGTTTTGTATAAAATCTACAGACAGATTAGCTTTTCTTTTTTATTTTTGTGGAAATGGAAAAGTCTAAAGTGCTTTCTGAGTGCACCAACTGTTCCAGGGCTCCTCCTTTTCTGAGCCACCTGATATGTGGAGGATAAAATCTGTCAGAAATGTATGCAGAAAGCAGTGTGGCAGTGAAAATTGTACCTTAGAATAATTTACAAGTCTTACCAGTC